GCCCGACGGGGCGGTTCCGCGGCGCTACCACCGCGTGCAGCACGGGCACTGCAGCTACACCTTCGTGCTGCCCGAGGCTGACCCGCCGCCCTGCCCGCTCGCCCCCCTCGCCCCCGGATCCGCCAACGCCTTGTTCCAAAGGGATTCACCGGCTGCCGGGGCCCGGCGCCCCGCGCCCGCGGCAGCACCCGGTGGCTGCTGAAGGTAGGGTGTGAGGGGAAGGGGGGCGGGGGTCTGCCTCCAGCACCCAAGGGTGCAGCAGCTCCAGCTCCTCGCCCTACTCCAGGTGGCCAGCAGCAGAGCTGGGGGTGTTTTCATGCCCACCTGACACAAATCAGCATCTACTCCACCCCCGCGGGTTTGTAGCCGGGACCTGATTCGGGCCCCTTGGCACCAGGTGCTGTGTCCTGAGAGGGGATGGGTTTTGCAGGTGCTGCAGAATTCCAGTGCATCCCTCTGCCATCCCTGCTCCTTGTGGTCCCAGCTGGGCACCCCTGGGCCATGGCTGAGCAAGGCTGGGGGGGCACCACAGGTGCACATGGCCCTGCCCTGGGGCAGGCAGTGTGGGGCTGCACATCTAAGCTGTGGGCAGCAGTGCCCCACACCACTGCCCACGAGGAGCAGGGGGCAGTGCAGCCCTGGACAGTGGGTTCCCTGTCCTGTGCCCCAGCCCAGCCCCTCCAGCAAAGGCACTTTTCAGCCTTTTTTTTTTTTTTTTTCCCCCTGTTCCTCCTTGTCTTTCCTAATTTAACCAGAGCTGCCCAGAGAGGCTTGTTTTGGTCAGGCTCCAGGCCTGAACAAACAAACTGGGGGCTCAGAGGAGGCATTGGGTTCAGGGACAGATTGTAAACAATGTTCCCTCCTGGCTCGGGAAGACCTACTGGGGGCTGGGGGACCCGGCAGGGCTCCCCGGGCCCCTGGAATTCTGGGACAGGATGGGGATGGGGACAAGGGAGGGAGGCAGCTGCAAGAAGACAGCACAGAACCATCTAGCCAAGAGCAATGGGTCCCTGGCATGGGGACAATGGGGTGACCCGGGATTCTCCTGCTCCATTTTGGCAGCTTTTTGGGGAGGCATGAGGCTGGTGGGGCCCCTCTGAGCCCAGCTCACTCCAGGACCCCTGGGGTGAAGGGAGAGCAATGCCAGCTTCTCATCCCTCTGTGCAGAGCCTGTCCCTCTCAGGTCCCCTGTGCCATTTCAGGCTGGGGACACTGTGTTCCCCTCCAGCTCCAGGGGGCTGCAGACTGGGGCTATCGCTGCCCGTGCCAGCCTGACCTTTTCCGTGGGTATGTGCTGCCCTTGGGCTTGGAGACATGTTTGGTTTGTGTTTGTTTTTTTTATTATTTTTAAAGAAAAAAAAAAAAAAGGCAAGATTGAGAGGGAGAAAAGGCCTCCCTGAGCCCTGTGAAGCAACAAGATTAACGACGTGGTTAAAGGGAAACTCTCCAGCAATCACTCAGCTCGGGGAAATGTTTTCCAGACGTGGCTCTCTGACCTCTTCCAGCTTTCTCCCCCACCAGCATGTTCCCATGAGGGGAAATCTCTAGGGAATTGGGGTGCAGGCAATGCTGGCTGGGGTGCCCAGCCCTGGGACCCCCCTACCCTTCATGGGTGCTGGTTTTGCTGCTTTGGGGGCTTTGGGGAGGAGGGACTGGGGTCCCCACTGCCCTTTGTGAGATTTCATCACACACAGACAAGTGCAGAGAGAGCCCTGGCCCTGCTCCCATGTTCATCATCCCATGTCCACCCAGGAGAGCATCATCCCATCCTGGCCAGTCCTGCCTGGTCCACAGCCCCATGGGATGTGGGAGAATGTGGGACTGTGTCAGGGCAGGGAGCAGGACCCTGAGGACAGGAGGGTCTGGGGGGTTTCAGGCAGCCCCCAGCCCCTCTCCTTGCTCCCCGGGGCTGCCCAGCACGGAGCTGCTTTCCCAGCGTGGGCGGCAGAGCAGCCCCTTCCGCTCCCCGCGGCCCCCGGTGAGGGACTGTGGCCCCAGCAAGGCCATCATCCCTGGGAGGGACCGAATGGGAACCTCATGGCAGGGTCACCAGAAATAGAAAAGCCTTTGGGAAAGGCAGCTCCCCTGTGGGCTGGGAAAGCGGAAGCGACAGCTTGGCTGTGTCCATAGCCAGCTTCTTCCCAGCCCCGAGCACTTCCCTGTGGCCACCTTCATTGTCTGACGGTGGCCCCCCAACTTCCGAGTCCCCAGTCCTGGGAAAGCCGTGGCTGGAGGCTGACACGTGATGGTATTGCCAATACCTGCCCTCTCCCTTCCTGGCTGCTCAGCACAGGTCACCCTGGCTGGGCAGCAGCCCCAGATGCCAGCAGCCCTGGGCACAAACCCATGCCAGGAAACCTGCTGGCACTGCAGCCCAGGAATCTTGGCAACCAGTGCCCAAGGCAGCTCCCTCCTGGCAGTTCCCTCCCTCCTCCCAATGAGCTTCAAACGTGCCCCGGGATGGGTGGTGCCATGCTGAGGTGCTCCCAGGATGTGCCTGGGGGCTGTGCCATGTGCTGCTGGGCTCAGCCAGGGCACCGAGGGAGGACACAGAGAGCTTCCCAAATAATCCGTTGTGCCCCTACTCCCTTCTGCAGCTGGAGAGCTACATCCAGACGGGCATGAGGCCGGAGGTGGCAGAGCTGCAGCAGACAGCAGTGCAGAACCAGACGGCCACCATGCTGGAGATCGGCAGCAGCCTCCTCAACCAGAGCGCCGAGCAGAGCCGCAAGCTCACTGATGTGGAGGCCCAAGTAAGGGGTGGCCAGGGCACACAGCACACACGTCCCCATGTCCCCACCACCCTCTGACAAGGTGCCCCACGGTGATGCGTGGTTGAGTGCACTGGTGTGTGGAGGAAACTGGGGTTGTGAGCCTGGGGATACTGGGGACATGACATGGCCCCAGCTGCTCATCCTGATGCTTCTGAGGCAGGTGCTGAACCAAACCTTGCGCATCGAGATGCAGCTGCAGGAGAACTCCCTGTCCACCACCAAGCTGGAGAAGCAGCTGCTGCTGCAGACGAACGAGATCCACAAGCTGCAGAACAGGAACAAGTAGGGCCTGGGGTGACCCAAGGACCCCCACAGTCCTTGGATCCCGGGGCTAGAATGATCTCTTCTACCCCAGGGGCACAGCTGCACTTTGAGGGGGGGCCTGAACCCCCTGAGGGTCTGGCTGGGGTTCCTGGGGGGTTGCACAGCCCTGGCACAGCCCCTTGAGCTTTAGTTTCCTCTAGCTAAGCACGTCCCAGAGGTGCCAGGCAAGGTGCGATTTGGTGGGTGCAGCAGGGTCAGTGACAGCTCTGGGTCCCTGCAGACCAGGGCTAGGTCCACTCTGCCACCCACTCCTTGTTCAGCTGCTTGGCACAGGCACAGCTCCCCCCATCACTGCTGCCTCCCCCGTTCCAGCATCCTGGAGACACGGGTGCTGGAGATGGAGACGAAGCACCAGGCAGAGCTGGTGGGGGCCCGCTCGGAGAAGGAGAAGCTGCAGCAGCTGGTGAGCCGGCAGAGCAGCACCATCCAGGAGCTGGAGAAGTCACTGGTGGCCGCCAGCACCAACGCCAGCCTGCTCCAGCGCCAGCAGCTGCAGCTCCTGGAGTCAGTGCAGAGCCTGGTGCGCCTCGTCTCTCAGGGCAGAGGTGAGCCGGGGGGCAGGCAGCAGGAGAGCTCCTCCAGCCCCTCGTGGAGGTGCAGAGTCCCCACGCTCAGCTCAGGCTTGGGTGATTTCGCCCCAAAAGTAAGGCCTGGATTGGATCCAGGGAGCAGCTCCGGGTCCCCAGGGGATGGCCCATGTCCCCACTCTGTCCCCAGACAAGGCAAATCCCCAGGCTTAGGCTGGCGGCAACGGAACCGCCTCACCCAGCCCCAGGGAGGTGAAGTGGAAGAAAGAAAATTAATCCATGGGGACAAAGGCATCCAAAGGGAGCAGGGAAGAGCTGCACAGCCAGGCAGAGCTATGGGACCGGGGGGTGTCCTCTCACTGTCCTCTCTGCTGCAGCACCACTGCTCAGGCAGGAGCAGCAATTCCAGGACTGTGCCGAGGTGCGCCGGGCAGGCATCCGTGCCAGTGGGGTCTACACCCTCCACATCACCAACCTCAGTGAGCCCAAAAAGGTGAGCACGGCTCCCACTGCAGCACCCTGGGCTGCTGCTGGCCCTGTGGCCATCCCGTGCCACCCGCTACCCCCATACCACAATGGGTATCCCTGTGGAATGGACACATCCCAACCCTTCCTGCTGGGGCTGTGCTTCCTATCCTTTCTGGCCTTGGGGGCTGCAGAGGGGGTGAAGGTGGGGAGCAAAATTGATGTAAATGGCACCCACCCCCACAGCCCCCCCGTAAGACCCATGCCCCAGCCCTTGCCCATGATCACCAAGGGAGAAAGAGACACACACACACACACACACACACTCCCCCACCCAGCAGGTGCTGGGCACAGCACATGCTTGACAGCCCCTTGGCAAGCTCTAAGACCTATGCCAAGCTGCCAGGCATGGGATCCCCCCACCCAGTTGCCCCCTGCCCCGAGCCAGCCCCATGGCCCCACTCTGCAGCCTGCCCTGCTCTCCCCACTGCAGGCATTCTGTGACATGGAGACAGACCGAGGGGGCTGGACCATCATTCAGCTCCGCACCAACGGCAGCCTCAGCTTCCAGAGGGGCTGGAGGGAGTACAAACAGGTCTGCGCCCACCCGGGAATGGGGTAAAACGGGGGGCTCCCTGTGCTCACCCACCCTTCTGCTCCCCCAGGGCTTTGGAGACGCAGCAGGCGAGTACTGGCTGGGCAACGAGGCCGTGCACCTCCTGACGAGCCAGGCACCCTATGCCCTGCGCATCGAGCTGTGGGACTGGGAGGGAGGCCAGGTCTATGCCCACTACGGGAAATTCCAGCTGGGAAGTGAGCGGCAGCTTTACAGGTAGGAGCAAGGCACCCCGGGGCTCACCACCCAGTCCTCCCTGTTTCCAGCTGTCCCTGCGCAGTGGTGGCCTTGGGCAAGTGCCCTGGGGAGGCTTGTGGTCCTGGGGCATGTAGGATCACACAGGGCTTGGTGAGGATTTCCTGGTGGATGTTGGCT